TCCCCGAGACACCTGTCGCTGTCGCCCTGGGCTGCCAGATGGGGCCACCTCGGCCTACTGGGGTGGTCAGATTTATGGTCCTGGGGCAGCAGTTCCAGCCCCGCCTTGCGAATCCCCACCCGTCCGGGCGCCCGCCCTAGCGCACCCCCGGGCCGGGCCGGTCGGGAACTGGGAGAGCTGGGGCTGGTGATGGCTGCAGTCCGGGAGGCGTGGGGACTGTGGCCCGGAGTGGGGATGGCAGGGCCGGCCAGAGCGTGCCTGAGGCAATGGCAGCCCCCTTGGTACTCAGGGCCAGTCCTTGGAACGAGGAAGGGCGGGCTGGGGCCACGTGGATGCCTTAGTAGGGCCTGGAATCCTGCAGAGCGCTTCCGAGAGCTCGGCGGACACCCAGCCGACCGTGCCATGTTAGTGCAGAGCTGACCGTCTGCAAGCGAGACGTCAACGTTAGAGCCGGTATTCCGTGCAGAGTCAGCTTTTCTATTTTCAACCCAGGCAAGCATTTAAATCACATTTCTTGCCCTCTCCTGCAAGGCTTTTCTGATTTCCAAGAGTAGCCAACAGCCAGAGATAACAGTTACCAGTGGAACAGCTGCGAGGAGATACAAAGTAGCTGCATTCTGTGATGCTGTTGTCTTAGTTTCCCCATCCCCGCCAGTGACACCAATGGGTGTGACCCCGGCAGACACCCTCCTCCAGCTGAATCACACGCCCTCATTCTGCTTCCTGTTAGCTAAGATAAGCTGGGGAGAGTGCGGGACTCAGTGAGCTGTTGGAAGTGAGGCCAAATCTTTCCCCTCTTCCCTAAACCTCTTCTGGTCTCCCTGGTCGCAGGCAGGAAGGACAAGCCTGGGTACCCAGGCAGTGAGAATGCGTGCGGCTGCTGAGGGAAGCCACCATGCCCCTTAGGGACCGGAGTCTTCCCTCCTCGAGGAGGGATGTCCAAGGTGGCCTTCCGGGCCCCTGCACTGAGGACAAACTTGAACTAAGAGCAGAGGAGGACAGCGCTGGGGAGGTGGTCATCTGGCCAGGGCTGGACTCTGTGCTGTTCCAAATCTGGGCGTTTCCCAAGACTGAGATACACGTGTGCTAGCCTGGAGGCCTGCTGGTAAATGGTGCCTTCTGGCTACAGGTTCTGGTCACCTGACGGTTGTGAAAACGCTGCCACAGAACCCCAAGTCGCCGGTTCAGAGCGGGTGTTAGAAGCCACGCACAGAGCCCCTCGAGCCCTCGGTGGCCGCGGCAGTGCTGAGTGAGCTTGCGTTGGAGCCTTAGTCCTACCCACTAGACCAGAGCCTATCATGTGAGGGGCAGGAGCCCAGTCCCTCCGCAGGAAGTGGAGGACATGTCCTGCCCCACGACGCGGCGCCCACCCCAGGACCGCTCACCGACCTGGTCTGCATACCTGGTGTGGGCATGAGTAAGGTAGGCTGCTGTTTTCTCTTCGGATACCTGGCCACAGAATCACAAGTTTAACGGTTTAACTTTTCATCTTCCAGAGAGGATGTGCATTTACCAGAGACAGTGAGGGAGAGCGCATCCCCCCCACAGGGCAAGGCCACGCCGCGACTCCTAGCAGGCCCGCTGGGACTGGGGCGCACACACGTGCTGGTGTTTTATGCGGAGGATGTCATGAGCGGGGCTGGCTCCCCTGAGCACCAGGCCACAGGGTGAAACACGATGCTTTAACTCGGTAAGGCCGTTGGGAGCCCAGGGGAAGGGTGCACAGGTGTGTCGGCACTCCAGCATGGA